CTGGAGGTTGTATCTTATAACTTCATGTACAATGAAAGGAAGGTCTATTTTTCTCATTTAAATATGTATCATTTCAGCCAGGCATTGTGGGGCATGTCTGTAAGCCCATCACTCAAGAGGCTGAGGCAGAAGTATAATGCATTCAAGCTACCTAAAAGACCCTGTCTCAGAAATACAAAAAATAAAAATTTTAAAATTATCATTTTGGTCATTTTTACTAGGAAACTATAATTGCAAATCATTCTGCTCAATTTGAAGGAGAAAAAGATGAATATATCATTATTTCTTTAAACAAGCTCAAAATTAAATGGAAGGGACAGACATAAATAAATAACATGACAAAAATATATTTATTCAAAATAAAATCAGATCAAAGAAGCCTCTTTCCTGGGGAGAAAAAACAGATGTCAGAAAATGCATTGTAAAGCAGTAAGTAACATATTGCCGGGGCTTAAAGAAGAAAGGGATTCATAGGAAAAGAAAGACATTCCAGAAAGAATACAAATATGTGAAAAGAATAAGATCTGTTCTAGGAATAATAAGTTTAATGTAACTAAATAGTAGGTCAGTGGAAAGAGAAAGAAATTTTGACTTTATGCTAAATGATGAACCTCTATGAGGAGGGGGAAATAAGGAGATAGGATGCACAAATAGAAGTCAATTCAAAGAAAAGTGATAATAAGGAATGAAAGGAAAGAATGATGTCAGGAGAGCTCTTAAGGGACAGAAGTGACAACTTTTCAATTATCCCAACAGGTCAAAATCAAAGGAGACACTAACGTTTCTGCTTGAATAAGTATGAAACTATAAAATTAGGTAACCCAGAAGACTAAGCAGGTCTTTTGGAAGAGAAAAATATCACTGGAAAATTAAGAAAAGAAGGTAGAGCTCAATTCTAGGTATATTGAATTTCTGATTTCAGTAGGGACATTCATATGTAAAGGAGATAAAGAATAGGAAGTTATCTTTATAGGATGGTAAATTGATGACCCCTTCCCTTTAAAAAGATCTTGAATTATAAAAGAAAAGCCACACACTAATGATAGGAGCCTAGTTTTTTTTGTTAGGCCAACCCTACAAGTGCCTACCTCTTAACTCCTTATTTATTTTTCTCATATAACATTTTTGTACTCTTTTTTTTGTACTGACAGTCAAATTCATTCCTCCTCAATGCAATCGTTCCCATAGTTTTATCCTTGCTCCTTTCCTCTTGTCAATCTCTATATTCTGCTCTGGGAGAGCTCACATATAAGCTGATTAGGGCCAAATCTAGATCTTCATTTTACTCAATGAATGGTAAGTGAATATGACACAACAAGATTATTCAGTACATAAATTTTGCTATCACAGAAAGTGACAATGGCATAAAACAATATTCTAATCCAAAGCCAAGTAACGTAAGGGTCAGGCCCTCATATGCACAATGCAACCAAGTTTTACAATCCTACTGTACATATAATACTGAACAAAGAAAAAGAAATGAGAAAAAAAAAATTTTTTAAATGAGGGCTATTCCCAAGGAAGCTAGATGAAAGGGAAACAAATAAGACTTACAAGAGGATCAAAACCCAAACAGGCCAAGCCAGCAAAATTGTATAATTTTCCACAGATAGGTCACTAAACAGTCTAATATATCATTTAAAAATTTTTATTGTGGTAAAACATACACAATACATTTTTAAGTGTGTAGTTCAGTGGCTTTAGGTAAATGCACAATGTTGTATAACCATCACCATTATCTATCTCGAGACAGTCCAATATCCCAAAGTGAAACTCTTACTCATAAAGCAATAATCCCTATTTCTCCCCTTCCCTCAAGACTCTCAAAACTGTCATTGTACTTTGTGTCTCTTAAGTACCTCATATGAGTGGAACTATATATATTTGTCCTTTTCTGACTGGTTTATTCCATTTAGCGTAATGTCCTTGAGGCTCATTTATATTGTAGTACATCTCAAAATTTCTTTTTTAAGACTGGATAATACTGTACTGTAAGCATAAACACATTTTGTTTATCCATTTTTCTATGTATACTGAGTTACATCTTTTGGCTACTGTAAATAATACTACACAAATGGGTGTACAAATCTACTGCTGTCTGTTTTCAATCCTTTTATGTACTATCTCTGTCCAGTTGAGTTTCTAGATCAAATGGTAGTTCTATGTTTAATTTTTTGAGAAATGAACCATCACATAGTTTTCCACAGTGGATATAGTGTTTCACAAATCCCACCAGCAATGTACAAAAGTTTCATTTTTTTTCACAACTACACCTGTTGTTTTCTGGTTTTTATTTTATTTTATTAATGGCCACATTGACAATTGTAAAGTGGTATCTCGTGTTTTAAGTGGCATTTCGCTAATGATTAGTGATACTGTGTATCTTTTTATGTTTTCTGACCATTTGTATATCTTTGGAGAAATGTCTATTCAAATCCTTTGTCCATTTTTAGTTGTGTTGTTTCTACCTGTGTGGTTGAATTTCAGGAACTCTGTATATGTTCTGGATACTAATTAAATATATATTTAAAGACAATACTAAAAAAGATTATTTAAAAGAAATATAACCTATAAGTATAACAGGTTAAATTACTTGAACTGATCTATTTCTGAAAATATGATCATTGTGGGTATCAATTCCAAAATGAAATTTTGCAGTAATCAGTTCTCCCAAAAAACTAAGCTCTCTTGTTTTAATACTCAAAAACTATTTTTAAAATTCATGATTGATGAAAAAGTAACCAAAATTCACATGACTCATATAAAATAGCAAAAAATACACTTATCAGTTTCAGAGCCACTGATACATACCTGGCAAACACCATTCACAGTTCAATCAATATAAATGACAACCCACAGCACAAGGGAGCATCTTTATATACAAACACTACACTATAAATGCTGGTTGAACTATACTGTAAATGCTATAGTTGTACTACATTGTACTTCTACAGCATTCAAGTGCTACAAGGTACATGATTCTATGTTTCTATCTTTGATGTAAATTTTAAGTTAAAACAATCAAAAAAATCAAAAATCAAAAAAGTTAAAACAAGTCAGAACAATCTACAAATGAGATGTTTTTATAATCACTAAATGAAGGCTATTGCTACCTTTGGCACCTTTTAAGAAGAATCAACCAGAGAGTAAAACTTAAACATACAAAGAAAGGAAGATCATAAGGACTGAAGGTTTGGGTGACAGTATTTGAAACCCTAGATACAGCAGTACCCTGTATTTTAGTATATGTGTCAATAAGTTCTTTTTAAAAATTTTTACTTCTTACTTGTTAATCCTAAGTAATCTGAGGCTTCAAATACAATTCCTTTTATCCCCATCTCATTTAAGTAATAATTTTGGTACCACCTCGAGGCCCTGCTACAGATTAGATCTGGAATATTCCTAATTGCTCATATCTTAAAGACTTGGTCCCTATCCAGTAGGGCCACTGGGGGAACCATTAAGAGATACAGGCTACTGGAAGGAACTTAGGTTATTGGGGGGCTTGCCTTTGGAGGGGATACTGGGACCCCAGCACCTTCCTTTGTCTCTCTCTGCTTCCCAGCTATGAAGAAGTAAACAGATCTCCTCTGCCATGTACTCCCACCATGATGTACTGCCTCATTACAAACTCAGAGTGGGGAAGTCAAACAACCAAGGACGGAAACGTCTGAATCTGTGATCATAAATAAATATTTCCTTCTTTGAAGTTGATTATATCAGGTATTTTTGTCATGGCAACAGAAAGATAATACAGACCATTTTGTATAAGACTTAAGCATGCATTATGAGAAGTCAACAATGATAAATGCATTAATATAAAATTTTAAACTTACTGTCCCTGCAATGACTACTCATTTGTAAATTATACCCTTTAGGAGAAAAATGTAAAATCTATCCCATATAAAGAAGTGGATGGCTCTAAAAACCAGAATGTAAAAAGGCTTACAAGAAGACACTGTACATGAAGAAATTCCATTGTATTAAATATGAAGGAACAAAGTACATGTATTCTATAGAAAACTATAGAAGTAAAATCATTACAATTAGAATAGGAATACGAAGAAGTAAAGATAGAGAAGCTTTACCAGGAAGAAAAAGCAACATACAGTAGAATTGTTTTACAATGACCCAACGTGCCCACTCTTGCTTAGTTTATGCAAAAATACACTTCTTAGCTTTCTAGGCTTCTCTAACAAGTTACTAAAAATGTGGTGGCTTAAACCAACACAAATTTATTTCTTTACAGACTAGCATGGCCAGGGTCATACTCCCTTCATGCTCCCTTTCTACAGAAAAGAATCATGGAAGCCTCTTCTTTAGCATACGAATGCAGCAATCTAATTTTTCCCTCAGGGTCACACTGTCTTCTCTTTTTTATGCGCATGCAAATTGTTCCTCTGCTTTGCTCTTACAAGGATACTAGTGATTGCATTTAGCGCTCACCTAGATATTCTAGAACAGTGGTGGCGAACCTATGATACACATGCCACAGCCGACTGTATCAATGAAAGCTCCAAAAGATTCGCCATCACTGTTCTAGAATAACCTTGCTATATCAAAATCTTTAATTTCACCATGCCTACAAGCTCTTTGTCATATGGTAACATACACGTTCCAGGCATTATCATATGGGGGCATTTTTTATAGACTATTTTTCAGCCTACCACAATATTATAAGACATTTCAATAGCATAATATTCCCAGAAAGGCTAAGAATACGGAATATATGCTTCTTTTATTATTCACAAACTAGTTTTCCTCAATTGTCTCTACTCATAAAAAGCTCCAAAACTGTCATATTTACAATAAAAGAACCATTGACTATAGTAAAACTCTTGTCTTTTCTACAAAAAAAGACTACAGTAAGACAATGTAAGCATAGCCTTAAGAAATGACTCTCATTCATTAAATTTACAATATACTATTCTTTGAAACTAAAAATAATTAGCATAACAACCTACTTCATTTCAAATTTAAAAATTAACCTAAGACTTTACCTCCAGATCCTAACTGCTTGTAGAATCTGTATTCCAAATGTAGTTGTGGTGCTCTGGATTTCATGGGCTCCTAATCAAAAAACAAAGAAACAAATTTTTTAAAAGGCATTTTTAAGTTATTAAAAGATCACTAGGCCTCAATTACAAATGTTTTAAATTTTGGTATCAATTGGTATATAGCATAACATAACATAATACTGGGCAACTTTATATAAAATATAAAAATTAAGTTTATTTTCAATCTTAAACTATGCCATCCATAACTGTACATAAAGTAAGTAACTATTAGATCAAGCATTAGGGAAATCTGTTTGACTCTTTGACCCTGAAGAAAAATATGCTCTGAATATTCATGACTAAGGAAATGTCCGCTCTTACACTACTTCCCCTACTCCCTGATATTCTCCTCTGAACTGTATATTTCTGATGTAAAGATTCTAGGTTAAAGTGAAGACATAGAAAAGTAAAGAGGAGCTGAGAATATAGCTCAGTGATATAGCATGTGCTTAACACACATGAAGCCCTGGGTTCAATCCCCAGTACCAAAACAAAATAAAAAAGTAAGAAAGAACAAAGATGGTAATATGAAACTTTTAGTATTGCCTTTTTAAGTTTTTAAACTGAGTTTTAACTTAAAGATTATAAAAGTTTTTACACGTTAGATCATTAGCTTCGTCAACTACACATTCTATAACCAACACATCCAATAATTTACATAACATTTTTATCATCTCTTCCAGAGATAATCACTTTTTAATTTTTACTACTTTTGGATTAGTTTTACCTTGTTGTTGGGTTTCAACTAAATGGTACTATATAATGTATGCTTCATATGTGTGGGTCTGAATTTTATTCATGAACTTGTTTTGAGGTTCATATACACACATGCATACACCCAAAGACAATATAAATATCAGTAACAATTCTTAGATATTATCAATAATATTAAATGCAAAAATATCTGTGGAAAAAGGAAAACTAATAGAGCAACATAAGAAATTGGAAGAAGAACCAATAGGTAATATAATAAAGTAACAAAATCTGCAGAAGAACCAACAGAACTTTGAAAATAAAATAAATTAAAAATTCCATTTCCCAGCAGATTAACACAACAAAAGAGAAAACAAAAAGTAGAAGGTAAGTAAAAAAATTATACAGAATATTTTATGAAGGAAAAAATAGAAAATATAGAAGACTAGAGACCTGAATAATACAGTTAGGAAGCCCAACATGCATGTGATAATCTCAGGAGGACAGGAAGAGAAAAACGAACATAAGCAATAATTGAAGAAATAATTACTAAATATTCAAGAACTGATAAGGATAACAAACCAGATTCAAGAAGAATCTCAAATGGAATTACTAAAAGGAAAAATATACCAAGACACATCATAATAAAATTACACCAAAGACTTTAGATAAGGAACTATTTAAATCCCATTGGAAAACTTTCAAGATAAGGATTATTGTAATACAAAACAATATACTTATTTCTTAAGAGGCAGGATAATACAGTATTTAACAGACTATCGCTAAAACTAAATTGTACTATGTTTGAATCTTGAATAGTCCTTCCTATGTGACTTAAGTTCCCCATCTAGGAACTGAAATAAAGTTAAAATTTTATCTTTCTCTTAATTTATGTAAACTACTTCAGTGTCTTCCACAGAGTGCTTTATTACCTGTAATTCTTCAGTTATCTATCTGAAAGTACAGAACCTTAAGATGTAATTACAAATGAAATTCAAATATATACCTTACCCAATCACCAATACCCCCTAGGTAAAAAATACAAACCAAGATCTGATTTAGTGACTTCAATGTGATTCCAGTACATTACTAACAATAAAATTTTATTATATCACAATATAACTAAAGTCACAGAGGATGCCATTTTCATTATTTATGGACAACTAGCTATTGTATAAGCAGAAACTATGAAGGTGGTAGCTGAGGTTAAATTAACAAATTATCCTGAAACTTTTGGTCTAAACTAGGATAACATTAGATAGATGTAAAACTCTTTGTAAGAGGTAATAGAGTTGAAAGTCACTGAAATCTGATTTCTCAACATGATGCCATGAAATAACATCTTTATTTATACCAAAGTATAAAAATCAGCACTAAAAGTATACAGACATAGCATTTAAGTGATTATTTTTATGGAATATTCTGAACAAAATTACAATCAGATACAACAGATACAAACAAAAAATATGCAGAAATAGCAAACAGTACTAAACTATGGTCCAAACGATTTACATAAAAATTATCCCATCCTTCCAATATATATTTTGGACAAATTTGAGGGAAAACATGACTACATATCATACTTCAACTTCTAAGTATTAGAGATACAGCTCTAAAATTACTCCAATGTGCACTGACTAATAATAATTACATGTAATGCTAATCATTGCATTTTTTAAAAAGACAAGTCAAAGCAAAGGAAGAATATCTAGAAAAAAAGAAAAAGGAGAAAAACAAAGGGATGGTGATAAGGCACAAAATAAACTTATTTATAAAGTAGAATGTGTGTATACAAAAGGCTGGAAAATGACATAATAAGCATTTACTAAGGAATCAGTGATCTGCCCAGGATGAACAAGTTCCACATCTGAAAATAACAGGAGCTAAGGGTCACCACTTTATGATGTGAGACTGACAAGGAAAGGTCACAGCCTAGAGCAGTGGTGGTGAACCTAGGGCACGCATCCCACAGTGGGCACACAGAGCCCTCTCTGTTGGCATGCTAGCCAAGTTGAGTTGTTTTTTCTAAACTAAAACCTCAGTTTTCAGGTTTAATTGTAGTGTTGGCACTTTCCAATAAATAAGTCGGTTTGGGGTTGCAGTTGGGCACTTGGTCTATAAAAGGTTTGCCATCATTGGCCTAGAGCTGTGGCTCCTGCCTTGCTACAATAGTTTATCTGCCTTAGCCTATCAGATACATATCACTTGCATGCAAGACATGCTCCTCCAACAAGTGCAAGTGCTCACAAGTTGCTGTATTAGTACTAGCCCAAAGGAAGAATTCCAAAGATATAAAAATCAGCAATGCCCATTCATCCAGTTCCTGCATCCTGGGCCTCTCCACTCTGATTCACATATATTTACTCTCCTTGTTCTAATACCATGCTCATAAGGAACATTTTAATTTTAATTTAGCATTCTACGTAGATCAGCCTATAGAAAGAAAACATTATTTATTCTAATTTGGGCATTTTGGACCTGTAATAGTAACATACTTCACTAAAAATGAGAAACTAACTTTTTGAGAAATATTTACATCTCTGAGTTTAATCAGTTTAGTGAACTGATTCTTGTGATTGATTGCTATGACTCCAACGCTAAGAACAATAGCCATCTTGATAACAGACCCTAACCAGATTTTATATCATAAAGCTAAGGACCAGACCTTGCAACTGAGGTGAATTCATCCAGGCAAATGTCACATATCAGGCAGCCAGTCTCTCTGATGGTGCCAAAATCCTACTGCACATCTCTATTTTCAAGTGAAATCAAACAGCATTTGTTGCAGTGAAACTTGGTAGAGTTTTTCCATTCCATGTCAAAAGTTTTCCATTTTCTGCACTTGCCTCTTCCTCTAATCATCTCTTTTGTACATTAATTTCACATCACTCTACTAACAGAGGTTATACTACCAGGAACAATGTTGACAAAGGCAAGGGGACTGAGAAAACCAAGCCGTGCATGCCAAACCTCAAGAAAACTTGGCTGGTAAGCCACATAGAAAAGTTTTGCCACAACAAAGTGAATCTTATAAGAATAATTCCTAGGTCCAAATTCGTCCAAAAAAGAACTTTCTACCTTATAGCCATCATAATGGGCACATTTAGGACTGCATAAAGGTGCCATGAGAGTTTGCTTTCCCTGCTATCCTACACCCCAAAATCAAGCCTTTCTGAATACCTGAAAGTAAAGCAATAAATAGCCAGTGTTACCATAGTTATGAAATATAAACAGAAAAAAAAGTTCATATACTTCCGAAACCATTTGGAAGTATATTTTCAAACAATGCAATCTTGAATACTAAGAAAACATGTTTCATCCAAAATACTTAAAATTTGTCAAAAAGAGAATCCTGCTTTCTAATTTTTATCTACATAAAAATGCTTCCCTAAATTAAAAACTGTGTCAAAATTCAAAAATTAATTTCTATAATACTGCCAAAGTAAAAGGACTGAGTTTTTATGCCATGGAAAAACATTAATATCCTACACATTATCACACACTCGAAGGGTATATGATATTAGGACCTTAATAAGAAAAAGTAAGACACACATATAATTTTTCCTTCTCAAATAAACTCCAAGTTATTCATAATATCAAAATTTTTAAAAAGTTAATAATTTTAAAAGGAAATAATTTTAAAAATACAAACTTACCAGCTTAATTGCCACATATTCATTTGTGTATAAATTTTTTCCTTGAAAAAGAAGGAAAAGAATGCCACATTAAATATTATGTAAACTGTTCTCTGGGGGAAAAATACACAACACATTTAAATAAAACAAAGGTTTGTGCTTCCAATTATTAAGCAAAAAAAGAAAAACAACAAGAACATATTTACATTTATGTCAATTCAGTGATGTACTTGGTATGTCACCTAGATTCAGAGGTAATACTAATCCATTATGCCACTTATAAAAAAGGAAAGATTCTGGTTTTGTTGAAATATTTCATTTAATTACAAAGTAATCAATAGTCAAATTTATGTTTAATAAAATGTAAAACCAGAACTTCTATATAAAAATGGAAATACAAAATTTTCCGCCAACCACCATGTCATTTTGAAACCTTCATTAGTATATAATATACTCTTTTAAAGGCTCATATTTAATCTAGTAAATATATCAAATATACATTGAAAATAGAATATACTAAAAACACAATGAAACAGGAAAAACGTTATTTGCCATATGTGGTGGCACATATCCATATTCCCAGCTATTCAGGAAGCTGAGGAGGAAGTTGGTGAAATTTGAGGCCAGCCTAGAAAATTTAGTGAGACCCTGTCTCAAAATAAAAAATGGATTAGGGAAGTAGCCTGGTGGTCCCTGGGTTCAATCGCATCCTAAAAAAAAAAAAATACATATATATGTGTGTGTATCAAATAATATATATATAACATTAAACAATTGGTTCTGACAATCTAGTAATCTACTCTGAGGGAAAAAATGATTAGTACTTTACCTTATGACAAAATTAATTCCAAATATTTTTAGGGTTAAATATAAGCTATAAAACAAGAAAACATATTTATTACCCCAACATATGGAGGCCGTTCTGAGCATAAAAAGTAAAGACAATCAAAAGGTTTTACATATTCAATCATACAAAATATTTTAAATTTCTGAATGCTGAAAAAATTCATTATATGCAAAGAGCAGGTAAACAGATTTACTAAATGGAGATTTAGAAGAATTACAGTAATCTTTGGCATTACCTATGTAATACAGAAAATTCCAACTGGTCAAAATCTGTAGCCCAAGGAGAATACCATGGAGATTTTGGAAGCAATTAGTATATGAAGACTTTTATATATAAATTAATGAAATAAAAATAACAGCACAACATATGTTTTCTAAGTTTACAATTTTTTTTCAATTACATGCATTACTTTTGTAATCTAGATTCTATTAAGAGCAACTGGTCCTGGCAACCTTGGCTACTGAAAACAGAACAGGCCATCATTAATTCTCATAAATGTAATTTTTCTGCATAGTACCACAGTTTCCTTTCAAACAGATGCTGATGAATGGCAATAAAACTTGATAAGCAAAATTTCAGCAGCAGTAGACCTTTAGTTAAGTAACAAAAGTGGTTAGTGCTAAGCTCTAGTCAGATACTCACTGAACCTATATAAATATTTTTAAATATTAGTAAATATTGCATATTCTTTTTTTTTTAATTAGTTCAATATTTGATGTGTCTTCATATATATTTTCTGCATGAAAATGTAGGTTTCCTCTGGTAAACTTACAGTAAATAATGATAAAGAACAATCTTGAGGAACTAGTGTCTAAAAAAGAATTCTGGTGTAGAGTTCAAAGATGAAATTTGTAGTTCAAGATATTACCTTCTCACAACTATTTTGTACATGACATACATGTACACAGGAATTTACAAGATGAAAAGGAAGATTAAATACAGATTACACAGAACCAAACTATATGAAATACTTCTAAAAGTACCATTTTTATTGATTTGTATATGGTTCCTTGTCTACCTTTTGTCACAGCACAAAGCACTAAATTCTAAAACCCTCATCACTGTTTTGAACATTACTTTATTCAACCTTAGGAGTGAGTTATAAATATGAGCAAAGATTAAACAGTAATAAAAAAGCATTTTTGTCATCTAACATACCTGCAGCCTCAGAGTTAGCTTTTAATCTGTATGACACAGACATGAAGAAAGCAAATGCACAAAGTATGTGTTTCTGGGTATTGAGTGAGGGAGAGATGTACATGGAGGGACTCCCATTAATAGATGAAGCCAAGTACAGTGCACCTAGTTAACAGGTGTTTTAATCCAATTTCAAAAAACATTTCCAACACAGCTTTCTGTCATACTTACTATTCTTTTGTTGTTGTTAAATTCTTTTATTGGTACATTTTAAGTACACAACACAATTGCATTTTTCATTGGGAATTGTACCTTTACATAATGCACCTAGGTTAATATTTTTTCCCCATTCCTAACCCCCCTTCACCCCTTCACCCTTCCCTATTTACAAACACTTTATTTCCATTTTTTCCATTTCTCACTTTTCCTTTCCCTTCTTTCCTTTCCCCTGCCCCTCCCACTACCTTACCCCTTTGTACCTTTGCTTCCTATTTTGCCTTATCAATTATTCATTCTAATCATTGGTACATTTTAGGTATACAATGTAACGACTTTCATCATTGGAAATTTGCATCTTTACATAATCTCTCTTGGTTCTTATTTTTCACCCTTGCCCAGACCTCCCTTCAACCCCTCCATTCCTATATACAAAGATTTTGTTCCTATTTTTCCATTTTCTCATATTAATACTATGCCCTTCTATCCTTTCCCATACCACTCCCACTTTCTTCCCCTTTGCCACTTTTCTTCCTATTTCACATTACCTATTATACATTTTAGTCCTTATTTACACTTTGTTTCTCACACCACAGAAACTATTTTGTATTTATACATGTGTATCCTATTTATTTCACTTAAGAGTATCGCCTCAATGCGCATCCATTTAGCTATAAATGTCTCTAATTTCTCGGTTTTTTATGGCTTAGTACTCCATTTGATAAAAAAAAAAAACCCACATTTTCTTGATCCAGTCTCCAGTTGATGGGCATTTGGGCTGTTTCCAAGTTTTAGCTATCACAAACTGTGCTGCTATGAACACGG